GAAACTTAGCTTACAATAAAGGGGTATAACTTCCAAATAACTGTGGAAAGAGGGACTATTTCACAGTAAGTATGTGAACAGCTGGTAGCATTTGGAAAATAAAAATATTATCCTCACCAAAATGAAAAATAAGCTCCAGGTGGATCAAAGAGCTAAGCATAAACACTTTTTGTCTAAAAAGTATTTGAAAAAAAATTAGGAGAATAATATGTTTATAGCCTTGAGGTAAAGAAGGCACAAAAATCATACACAAACATAAATGGCATAAAAGGTTGGATAATGATTACATCCACGCTTGAAAATTCTATACACTAAAAGACACCAAAAACAAAATTAAAATACAAGCAAAATGCATACAGGCTGACAGAATATAAATAGATTTTGCATATATCGATAAGGAAAAGAGAAACAGCCCAACAGAAAACGGGCAAAGACTGTGAACAGGCAATTCACAAAAGAAGAAACCCTAAGGGCCAGTGAACATAAGGAAAGCTGGTCTCCTTCACCCCAAATGGCAACACAAATGAAAGCGAGAGTAAGTTTCCTCCTAGCAGGAGAAGGGAAGGGGGGAGAGTGGGGTGGGGGCTGCCCGCAGATGGAGAACTTCCAGGACTGGCAAAGGGGTAAGGAATCGGGCACTCTCAGCTACTGTTGGATGATACAATTGGTACTGTCTTTTTGGAAGAAAATTTTGGCCCCATCGATTAGAAAATAAAATCTGCATACCCTTCGATACTGCAATTCCATTTCTAGATTTTGAATCCTAGAAATACTTAAGAGAAACCCTCTGCGGAGTGTGGATGAGGATGTTCGCTGTGGACCCCGTGCTGGATGTGAAGGAGATGCGCTCAGCTCAAGCTCTGGTACCACCAGGCCAAAATGGTGTCACTGTGTGGGGAACACGGAGCTGTCCTGGAGGGTGAGGTTAAGGTAGTGATGATGGAGGGCACAGGGCCCCAAGGAAGCTCGGTGCAGGTCCTAGTGCAGGCCGGGGGCAGAGGGAACCAGGGAGGCTTCCTGGAGAAGGGGGCACCTACATACATCTTAAATGATGAGCAGAAGTTAGCCCGGGGACAGTGAGTGGGAGGACATCCCAGGAGAAAGACAAACCTTGTGCAAAGTCTGGGAGGCAAGAGAGAACAGGGCCTTTTCAGTAATCAAGGTGCAGTTGGGTGTCACCAGTTTCAGGGTGTGAGAGGTGAGGTGGTGAGAGACGAGGCTGGAGAAGTGGGTAGGAGCTGATTTCATCCCACTGGTGATGAGGGGCCACAGAGGAAGGTGCCACAATCCCAGCAGCTCCTTAGGAAGATTCGGAGGCAACTGTGGGATGCGGGTCTGGAGAGAGAAAGGCTGGGGACAACAAGGAGCCGGGAGGCACCGTAGGGGAGGGACAGGGGTGAGTGGGGCCTGGGGGACTCAGGCTGGCTGGATGTGGGGTGTCAAGGATGACTTTCTGGCTTGGAGGCTGGGTGGATGGTGACACTGTTCACTGAGATGGCAGTCACACAGGAGGAGAAGGTGGCCTGACACCCTATTTATTTTATGGGGTTCCCTCTTAACCAGCCCATGTCAGAGAACCACCAAGGGCCCGGGATCCCAGAGGGCTGTGGGGCCTGAGGGTGGGGCCCTAATGCACCTGCCCACGCCCCCACCCCGCAGAGACCATCTGGATTGGGGGCTGCAAAAAGGGAGAACAGTGGGCAGCCCACCAAGCAGGCCAGCCTCCAGAGGGACTCCCAGGACGTTTCCTGAGACCTCAGCCTTGGGACGCCGATCCATGGACACCAGGGACACCCAGCATCCCCTGTGACTGAACTCAAATCTCCTGCATTGGGAAACTCGCCAGCAGCTGGGTTTACCAAGCCATTAAAGGAGGCTTTTTGTACTGGGGCATAGGCTCTAAGGACACAGGCAGGGTGATAGCCAGTGACTTCAAGAGCTAGGTGGGGTGCAGGGAGCACCTACCCAGACGGACTTGCACAGGCCAGCAAGTCTGGACAGCAGGCCCAGACCCCTGCAGTGGCAGCTCCCAGCAGGGGTTCAAGGGGCCTGGGAGAGGAGGGAGTGGGACGGGGTCCACAGGATGCCGGGTTTGCAGCCATTCACCAACCAGCAACACAAAGCGTTTCACTACTTTAACCAAGACACTTGTCACGTGCTCATGTCAAAGGTTCCCCCTCACCCTGAGGGCATCTGTCATCCCTGAGTGGTCCTAAACCACTCCTCAGATTTCCCTCCCTGAGAGCGGCACCTGGGAGACCCAAGTAACAAGCCAGGGTCCCTCTGGCTTGGCTGGTCTCAAGCTGACCCCTAGGGGACAGCTGGGACACAGCAGGGCACTGAGGGCAGAGCCTACAGGATTAGGACCTGCCCCAGGTCGGTCCCCTCAGCTCCCCCGACAGGATTCATTCACATCACAGGAACTGGGGCCTCCAGGCCTTCACAGCCCCTCACCATAGGAGCCCCCTGGCCTAGCAGGCTGGCCAGCACTCAGGAGCCCATGGCGAGGAACAGAACCCCCATTACCCACACTGCCCACCTGTCCAGTGGGCTCACAAACAAGGCTGCGCAGTGTGTCCAGTGATCGTCAGCCACCTTGCTGGGCTCTGGCCACCTGAGCCACCTGTAAGGCCCAGACCTACATGGAGGGCAGAAAAGACTTCACCGGGAGGGGCTCACACCAAAAGTCCCGAGAGAGGAGAGGAGAGGGGCGACAAGGTTGCTGAGATTAGACTGACCTGATCTTTCTGCTTTTCTGTAATCCCTAGATTTCGTATTCTGGAAAAAACCATCTTACTTCAAAAAGAAGAGTGCTCTCTTGGAGGCTGACTCCTCCAGGACTATTTCTCTCCTTTTCTCCACCTGCCAGTGTGGACGGCCTACTTAGGAGGCCATGAAAGCAGCCCATGGCTGCAGGAACCGGACCCAGCCCTGGTGCTGCTGCCTGGTGGGGAAGCCCAGCCAGGGCTCCACCCTGACCTCCAGCCCCTCACGAGTCGGCTTTTAGTTTGATGTAATTTTGAAACACCGGTATCCAAGGGTAAAAGAAAGATGCAGACTGCAACTTCAGCACCATTTCTCCCACTCATCTCCCAGACACCACACGTGGAGGAAGGCAATTCTCACGTATCAGCCATCTGTTTTCTCACTGAATTTTCACAGGACTGGTAGGCAAGCCCCCTTTGACAGCTGAGGAAACTGAGGCTCAAAAGAGTGGAGAGTGACTTGCCTGGGTTTGCAGGGCTAGTCAGTGGCTGAAGTGGGGTGTGGACCCTGTTCTGAAGGGCCCCATCACCCACCTCCTTACCCTGCTTCCTGTTCAATACACGAAGGGTCCACTCCCAAAACCTCATGGGACACTCAGTGTTTGTCCCGTATCCGGGTCCTCTGCTCTGGTCCTGGTCCCATGAGTTAGGCCCAAATGCATCTTCACCCTATGTCCTCAAGGCAGGCCCAGAGCCCTCACTGCTGGCCTCTGTGCCTGCCTGGAGCCCAGCTCTCTTCACTCATCCCAGGGCACAGCACCCTGGGGTCCAACCACCTGACCCCTACTTTTGAGGCTCTGGCCTATACCTGGTGCCTGGCTTTGGTCTCTGCCACCTTGAGCCTTGGCCTTCTCTGACACCATTTTGCTGGGCAGCCCTGGGCATTATGACCCTCTGTAGGGACCCCCTCACCCAGTCCCAGCCTTGACCCCACCACCCAGCTGGACTCCAATAGGTAGGTGCTCCACTGGCCAAAGTAACTCTGGGGTCCTGGCCTCCTTCAGCTATAGAAAATAGTCATTTTGGGGTCCAGATGAGGCACCAACCAGAGTTGGGGCAGAGGTTTCGGAGCTGGCCTGGATAAGAAACCAAGATAATTCTCTTCCAGCTCTGGGGTGTCTCAGCCGGAAAGGCCCTTAGACTGTCAACCCAGGCATCTTAACCTATTTGTCTGTAGGATGCAGCTGCAAGGGTTTGGAAAAATGGTCCAAGTTTTCTAATAAAAAAACCATTAGGTGATGATGACAGTAAAACAGTAAAACTGTGGTCTTTGTCCCACTTCCAGGAGCAGAGCTTTTAAAGCCTTGAGAACTTCCTGAGTGATAGGAGTGACTGTGATTATTCATAAGGAGCCCCTTTCAAACACACTTTAGTCCATGCTAATGAGGTGACTCAGGTGGGGCCCCCAGGGGGGGCCTCAGGAGGGGGCTGGTCACCAGAAGGACCAAACCAGTGATTCCACATTAGGCGCTTTCAGGCCCGCCCACCCCCACCTCCAGGAGGTGAGAGGGCTGGAGATGGTCCTAGAAACTCTAGAACAATGAGCTCCAATGTTTCTGGGTTGGTGAGCACACTGCTTGCTGAGAAGTGGTGGCCCTGGAGAGGCCCCTCCCCCATACCTGGCCCTGGGCATCTTTCCTGAATTGTGTCCCTTATAATAAGCAATAATTGTAAATCTAGTGTTTTCCTGAGCTCTGTGAGTTGTTCTAGTGAACTACTGAACCTGAGGGGGGTCGTGGGAACCCTCGCATTTGTAGTTGGCCTGACAGAAGTGCACAGCCCTTCTGGGCATCCCCTTTGTGGCTGTCCCCAAAGTCTTGTGGGACTGAGTCTCTGACCCTGGGGTCTGCACTAACTCTGGGCAGTAGCGTCAGAAGTGAATTGAATTCCCAGACACCCAGTTGGTGTCGAAGAAAAGAGAATTGTTACCCTGCTTGCTATTGACCTCAAGTCTACCACTTTCCTTCTGGGACTCAGTTTCCCCTTGGGATCACAGGGCAGAGTAAAGGTGCTCTGTGAGGACCCCCAGCCCCCACACCCTCTGCTGTGGCTTCCTAAGGGGCTGCAGTGCACTGGTTCCAAAATCTATTCCTTGACTTCAAAGCCAAAGGACCCTCAGAGAGGGCTCTGGGGTCTCCCTGACACCAGAAAGGTGAAGCAAAGGCAAGAAGACCAAGAAGGGCAAGATAGGCGGCGGGAGGCTCCCACCCCTGCCCAGGAGGCCGCCCTGCTCACCTGCTCCACGCAGTCCGGGATCTCGGGTGCGCAGGGCAGCGTCCCGGCGCTCTCCACGGACAGCACGTCCTTCAGCAACTCCTCGCACCCTGCAGAAGGACGACAGGCAGACCGTGAGGGGCAGAGCTTCAGCCCGGCCTGGTAGCTCTGCCTCTGATGAACCGGCCTTGGGAGGGTAGGTCTGCGGGAAGGCAGATGCCCCACATCACCAAGACACCAGCCGCTCATTCTAGGCAAAGATGGGGCACCCAGTCTATGGAGAAGCCAGTCCAGGGATCAGTAGAGGGAGCTGATTCAAGCCCTTGCCCTCCAGACGTTCTGCCACTGGGACTAACCCCAACAGGGAACACACAGATGAATGACTCCCAAATGCAGAGGGAAGACAAAGATAATCAAGGAGGCCTTCCTGGAGGAAGGGACATAAGACCATACTCCCTGCCTGGATCACAGGGACTCCTAACACATGCATTCTGAGGCTGTGAGGCTGAGGCCCTCTGCAGCCCTGCAAACTCCACAACACCTAGCCACGCTCAGGAAGGCTCCACCTCTTGCTGACTTATTACACAGGTGGCCCCCTCCCCTGAGCAAATGCCTCCAAATCATATTGGACAAAGGAGGTGTAATATTGTGATTTATAAGAAATACATATTTGGCCTTCATCCACAGTTCCTGACTCACAGCTCCAAAAATCCCTGGAATTTCCTAAGGGTTGAGAGTGACAAAAGGTGGTATTTTTATATTACAGAAGTGACTTTTGGACCCACCTAAGGATGGAGGCTGGTTGTCAGGAGAACCAACCAGGTGATTAGAGGGCTGGAACTTTCAGTCCCACCTCCTGACCCCCGACCTCCAAGGAGGGCCTAGAGGTAGAATCAATGGCCAATGTGCAGTGATTTGATTGATCGTGACTAGAATGCAGTCTCCACAAAACCCCAGAAGGACTGGGTTTGGAGAGCTTCCGGGTTGGTGAACACGTGGAGGTCTGGGGAGAGTGGTGCCCTCGGAGAGGGCACGGGAGCTCTGCACCCAGACCCTGCCCCGTGTACCTCTTCCATCTGGCATCTCTGAGTTATATCCTTTTACAGGAAACCGGAAATCTAGTAAGAAAAATGTTTCTCTGAGTTCTGCCAGCCACTCTAGCAAATTAATCCAATCCAAAGAGGGGGCCACGGGAACCTCTGATTTGTAGCCAGCTGGTCAGAAGCGCAGGTGGCCTGGGCTTGTAACTGGCGTCTGAAGTGGCGGTGAGGGAGTAGTCCTGTAGGACTGAACCCTTAACTAGTGGGACCTGACGCTGTCTCTGGGTAGATGGTGTCAGAATGGAGCTGAATTCTCCTCGGACACCCTGTGGGTTTGATTTGTTGATTGCTGTCGGGGGAACCCTCCACACATAGGAACTGGTCTCAGAACAGCAAAGAGGAGATCAAACCTGCCGAGTGCCAGCACGGGCGCGTGACAGGCACAGTTAGCAGCGGCCCTGCTGAGTCTGACGACTCCATTCAGAAACCTTTACTGGGGCTGCGGTGAGCAGGCCCCCCAACTTCTCAGCTCACTTCTCTCTGCCCCTCATGTCAGTGGAAGTAATTGTGCTCCCTTCCCACCCTCCCAGACTCTGAGGGACCCCCCCCCACCCCCGGCCACCCAGGGAAGGCTTCGTCCTGCTCTGACCCACTCAGACGTGGAAACACAGCATCCATCAAAGTAACTGAGGGCCTCTGGGTGCCCAGACGTCAACTGTGTTCTCCCCACAGGCTCGTGACCGGAACCACTTTCTCCAGAAAGAGTGCAGTACTGAGAGTGGCCACACTCGATTCCTGCGGGTCTCTCACAACTGCCTTTGAATTGGGGGAACAGGCGGGGATTTTATGTTGCTTATTTATTTATTTAATGGAGGTACTGGGCATTGAACCCGGGACCCCGTGCACGCTAAGCACGTGTTCTATCCACCCACCCCCTCTACGATATTGCCCTCTTTAAAGGGAAGAAAGGGAGGAGGCAGGAGGAGTTAGAAAGAGAGAGGGGTAAGAAACAAAGGAAGGAAACTTGGAAGGGAGGCAGGGGGGGAGGTGAGGGGACCAGCTCGGTCCAGGTTTGCCCAGAGCCATCCTGGTTTTAAAACAGGAAGTCCCATGTCCTGGGAAACCTCTCAGGAGCCTGACTGTCCTTGAGGGAGATGGAGGCCGAGAGAGGAAAGGAAAGCAAAGAGGGAGCCTTTCTCAGGACGGAGACAGACAACAGAAGGGCAGAAATGATGTCCGTCCAGTCCAACCAAGCCTGGCTCTGGAGGTGGGACCCCAAGGCAGAGGTTCAGAGATACCCACAGGCCCTCCATGGTGGGGGCAGCTGTGAGAGCCTCAGACCTGTCCCCTTGGCCCCCCTGGGGAGTCGGGGGCAGAACCCACTTCTGGAACTCATCCTGGGCTCCTGGGAACCCCGTAGAGAGGAATGGGAGATGCAATCCAAGCCATGTCAGCCTCCCCAGCTGGACAGGATCTGGGGAGCCCCTGGGACCCCCTCCCCCAGAATATCTCACCTTTCATGGCGAACACGCCTCTGCAAAAGTCCTTGAAGTTGATTCTCCCCAGGTCGTTGGGATCCAAATACTTCACGAGTTTTTCTACCTGTGGGAGGAAGGAGGGACAAGTGTGAGACCCCCAGAGACACCTCAGTGGGTTCCCAGAGCTGGGGTGAGATTGGCCAGGGAGGCCAGGATGGAGGGAGGGCTTGTCAACTGAGCCAAGGGGATGCCAGCGGTCCCCTTCTAGCCCTCTGCCCCTCAGCCTGGGTCAGCGTCAGCCCCAGAAAGCGGTGGCACCACTTTGTTCTGAGGTCAACAGACAGCACAAGAGAGGAAAAGCAAATCCGTCACCATGTGCTCAGAACATGGGTTTGTTTGGGCTGAGCTTCTGTCTCCAAGTCACTCCTGCAAAGACTGGCACATAGAAAACAAACACTCAATCTTCACTTAGTGGTTTCTTTCATACAAAATACAAATTCATCACCGAAACTCTAGAAAAGAGAATGGCTCAAAACCCCACCTCTTCCCACTCTTCTTTAAAACACATCATTTTAACTCCCTCCCCTCTTTTTTTTTTTTGATATTTTATAGTTTTGAGACACCCTTGATCAAGTTCCCCTTTGTCTACAGGGAGGAAATAAGTTTGTCACATCTGTGTCCATTATTTTAAAATTACTCATTACAAATCGAAGTTTAAGGCAAAACCAAGTATGGTCAAAATCGGCAGCTCCATCTGCAGGGCTGTGCAGGCAGACACCAGGGGCGTTTCCAGGTCTCGATCTAGGTGCCGGCTACACAGTGAAGACTCACTGAGCTGTCTGCTTGTGGCCAGTGCACTTTTCTGTCCTATTTGTACCTTATACTTCAATAAAAAGTGTCAAAAAAAAACACCTCATAAATAAGGTTTAGCCCAAAGGAATCAGTCATTCCTGATGCTGGAAAGGTTCTCCCCTGCTCACCAGTACATCAGAAGTACCTTCCCACCCTGCCTGGTGGGTACCACCTTCATTTTTAGTGGTTATAAAATATTCTGCCCCGTGGATATACCATCATTTACTTAACCACCCCAATAGTTGGGCATTTTGGTTATTTCCAACTTTTTGCTATTACAGTTCATCTTTGGAGGGTGGGGGTTCTACAGCTGTGTGGATGACCCATAGATTCCTGGCCTTTCAGATCCTTGACTTCCTGCTGCCAGTAACTTTCCTTCCACATCCCACCTCAGCCACCAAGTCCCCTGGCCACGGTGAGGACCCAGTCATCACTGTTGCTTGTCTCTCCAACATCACTCACTCAAACATCCTACTCCATGAATGCATCCTTCCTCCCTTCCCACCAAATTCCCTAACGTGGCCTATGACATCCTATGTTCTCTGGCCCCTCTAGCCAAACCTCCTGTCACTTTTTTTTTCTTAAATGGAAGTACTGGGGTTTGAACCACTGAGTTATACCCTCCCCTCTCCTCCCTCTGTTTCTATCACTCACTGCATTCTAGTTACACGGGCCATCAGTCAGTTCTTCAAGCAAGCCAAGGTTTTTTCCTGCCTCAGGGCCTTTGCATATGCTGTTTTCAGTATCTCAAATGCTCATCTGCTCCATCCATCATCTGGCAATGTCTGTTCATCCTTCAGGTTTCCATTTGTACCTCTATGAAATGTTTCTCCCCAAGACAAGCCTGTCCTGACCACTCCTATCAAATTAGGGCTTACCCCACTGCTATTCTGTCTTGTAGCACTTTACACTTTTCCTTCAAATCGTTTGTTGTAATACGTAATTATGCATTTATGATAATTTTATTAATTTGTATCTTCCCCTCTAGAAAGTAAGCTCCCTGAGGTCAAAGATCATGTCTGTTTTAATCACCACTGTATACCTTGTAGCTCCCACCATTACTAGCATATAATAGAAGCTTCATAAATCTGCTGAATAAATGAAAATAAATGGTTCTACAAGACATCTAAGTTTTTAAGACATTTGATAACAGTTGCCATACTGTTCTCTGTAAAGATGTCTCAATTTAGTCTTTGATCAGAGCAAACTGACTTCAAACTTGTGAGCTCTGGCTATTTTTTTCCTGATTTTGGTCAATGGCCAATTTTGTCAGAACTATCTTTTCTAATTAATTGGAGCCCATTCCCCCACCAACCCTGAAATTTCCAATACCTGAAATTCAGCTTCTTGATTTTTTTTCAGAAGCCTGCTTCTAAATCAACCTGTCACTTAGTGGCAGCCCCTCCATGGCACACATGCAAACATTCATTCAACAGGTAACAACTGGGCACCCCCTCTATGCCGGGCTCTCTGCTGGGGGCTGATGGCAGTAGTTACTGGCCCCTCTGGCTAACCACACACACAGTCACATGGACACACATGTGCACACTCTCATGTGCTCTCACAGGCTAGTGGCCAGGCACCACCCACTCCCTTCCCCACACCTGCCATAATCACCATCAGTATCCCAAGCACAGGTGGGCAAAGATGAGCCCTTTCCCAGATTCCTCTGGAGCTGGGTTACAGGTGGTGGGTGTGAAAGCTCTTGGGAAACTAGAGCACAGCACGCAGAGAACGGATTACTGACACTGTTGTCCTGTTACTACTGTCACTGCAGACACCCTCCAGCCCACATCGCCCACCACGTGCTCTGAAGTCCAAGCCATATTAGGGGGTTCATCCATCTGCAGGATCATGCTTCCTGCATGCCCATAAGATACTTTTCTAGCAAGGCAGTTGCAGCAGGGGTCTGAAGCCCCCTCCAATTATAGGGACACGCCCAGTGGTCTTTGAAGGATGAGCAGTGAGCAAGGGAAGACCATACGTGAGCATTCCTCCTCCCTTCCTGAGTGTGTACCTCTGACACTGCTGACACTGCTTTTCCACTCGGGTGTGAGTCTGGGGGTGAGGCGTGGACAGAGGCTGTGCCTCATGCCTCTGGGACCCCCCTGAACTTTGCACTTAGCAAGCCCTAGGGAAAGGCTGGAGGAATTCCAGGGAAGGAGGAAGGGGCTCTCTGTCAACTCCTACCCTGGCCGGCGCCTCCTCAGCACTGCAGCTTTTCCCACCCCCCTCACCCCCCCACCCCTCCCAGCCACGCAGCCTCTGACACTGCCAGGCAATGATGTGGCAAGAATAGCAACGCCCAGGTGCCACCTGCAGGGCCAAGGGGAGCCCACCTGCCCTCCCAGCTCATGCCCTGGCTCCTCTCCTCCTGCCTCCCCATCACTGGCATTGCAGGGAGTCTATGAAGGCGGGGATGGGCTGGGGCTCCTGGTGTTCACCCCCACAGTCCTCTCCAAGGGGCTGTGCATTAATTATCTTGGATGCGAGTCAAGGGCAGAGTCACCACCGAGTGTTGAGTGGCTGATGTGGAGACCCAACCTCAAATCCACATAAGGGGCAGCAGGCTGTGGGTTCAGATTCCATGATCCATGGAGTCCGGAACTTTCTGGGGCTGGGAGACACCGGTGGGCCAGGCTGTCTATCCCCTGCCTCCATGGAAAGACAACCTGGAGCAGAGGTGCCAGGGTGCTTGATGACAGGCAGATAGATGGGGTCCCAGGGCTACTGCAAAGTCCCTGGAACACCCCTGCGCTGTGAGTCCGGGATTCGCACTGGGCACTTCAAAGAGCAGAGGTTCCAGAAAGCAGTGGGTGTGAACGTGCCGTGTCAACCGCTGTGCAGCCCTTTAGAAGACGGGCAGTGTTCACCAAGGTCTTGCTGTGAACTCTGGTCAGACTAGTCTCACCTGACCCCCAGAACAATCTTAACAGTAGCTACTATCATAGTCCCCCATTTTACAGCTGAGGAAACTGAGGCTCAGACACTGAGAGGCTAAGACACTGAGACAGTCCCTGCAGTGGTAATTCTTCCTGACCCAGGTCCCGCTGACCCGAGTATCGGCCTCTGAACACTACTGCCTTCCGCAGTGGCAGGCTCTTGCCAGGCTGTCTGCACCAAAGTGTGTTTCAACTCCTGTCCCCTCGTGTATGGAAGGGGCTTTTCCCGCCACAGCTGGAACCTCTCACCTGGATCACCAAGAGTCTTAACCTTCCTGGACACCAGAAACCTTTTGCCAGCAGCCCCCAGGGGTGCGTTCATCTGACCCAGCCCCTGGTTTTACAAACAGGGAAGCCATGTTCCAGGGAAGGCAAGGGATTTGCTCAAGGTCACATGGCGGCGAGTACAGCAGAAAACCACCCCAAGGGGTCCTGGTGGTGAACCCAGGGCCCCTGGCGCTGGGCCCTCCGGGGGCTGGGCCACACACCACACAGGGCCGGGCTGTCCTCCCAGGGAGGAGGGCTGGGCACCCCGGGCCTGGCGGGGGCTGCAGGAGCAGCTGTCCTTGCTGAAACACACACAGCTGGGCCGCTGAGCTAGCTGCCGGGGAAACTGGTTGTTTCCCTGGTGGTAAAATATTGATCTCTCCTTTTCTGGGCCACTCAATTACCAGGCTTCCCCTTCTATTTCTGTTGCCTTTCTCCGCTCATTCCCCCGGGTCGCATCTCTTCCAGCTCAGCTCAGATGTTCAGCGCTTCACTGCCGCCACCCTCTGACTGATCACCAGCCAGATCTTCCCTGAGCCTGTGCCCAGCCACCCACGCCTCCCTCATTTTGACATCTGCAAGCCAGACAGACTCAAGCAAGTCATTATCTGAACAAGGGAGATAAGCTGGCTCAGTCTGCGGGCCTAATAAATGTTAGCCATTAAATTATTAATCAAACAAATGCTCAGTAACTCCTCCTTTGTGCCAAGCTGGCTCTAAGCACTCCACACACATGAACTCACAACCACCTCAGAAGTAGATACTACCCTTCTTCCCATAGCTCAGGAAGGCTGTCATTCAGGGTCAAGGTCACACAGCTAGTAAGAGGCAGAGCTGGGATTTGAACACAGGAATGATAATTATTATCATTTCTACTAACATAGTTATAATCACTATGATCATTATCACAAGTTTGGGCCTTGCTCTGACCAGAGAAAGAATAAATTTGTACTATGTTCTCTTTTAACCTAGGAAAACTGGGTCCAGAGGACCTCTGCTTAAGAATTTGAATATTTAAAGGAAAATGTGTCATTTCAAATGTGTTGATAAGCACAAGTCTCTC